GCCGAGGCAGGTCGGGGGCGTGCGCCTTAACTGCGCGAAACGGCCGTGCCGTGCCGTGCCGTGAGCTCTGGCCGGACTTTGTGTCATCCTCTTTTTCTTCGTGGGCGGACGTGCGGTCGCTGACGCTAGGGCGTGACTGTGGTGTCCTGCACGGTTTACATGGTCCATGTCCTGCACGGTTTGCGTGGTTCGTATTGTGCTTCCCCGCCAGCCGTGCAGCCACCTGTTCGGTGGCTGAGGCGTCTGGCTGCTGACATCCGACCGCTTGTTTACGCCGTTTCCTGCACACACGCAAGCTCCGCTGTCGTGGTGGAAGTAATGCGTTCCGACATATGCGGCTCGTTTGGCTGTTGGCTGTTCTGTTATGTCTGTGACGGCGTAGTCTGCGGCTGCTCAGTACGTGGCAACGTCTTACCTTTGCGCGGCGTAGCCCGGGAGCTCGGAAGCACCCCTTGGTGCTTTCAATGGGCTCGCATTTCTTTTTCCTGAGGTTTCCAGGAGCCTCTGTCTCCAGACGTGAACATGATGTCATGTGGTGCATTGGTATTTACAGTTGCAAGGGAGTTGGACGTCCCTCCTTGTTCGCATATCTTCGCATCGCACCCCGAGCTTTTAAAAAAACATCGCCAAAGCCTTCAGTTTGCAAGCGTAAGACCCATTCCCGTTCCCAGTAATGCTCCATTTGTTTGCAGTCTGATCTGAACTATCTGGACAGCATCGCTTTGGACTTTGCAGTTAAAAGTACCAATTGTGAGACGATGTTTTCGAGATTTTAGCCATGCTATTTATACGGGACTTTGCGACTTTATCGGTGCGTGCATTACATTCCTGGGCAGCTCCTGCAAAATTGCAATCTTTTATCAGAGTCGTATCATACTTTCCTGTCAGCCATATCATAGTCGTCACTGAGACTTCGCCAACGCCACACGTCAAGACTTCGCGCGAGGCGCTCGAACCGACAAGTGATCTGGAGGTCTGATCTGAGTGACTTGGAGAGATGTCACTCTCAACATCTCATTCCGCTAGATGTGCCGCAGAACCGGTGCCCAGGAGCCACAAGCTCCGTGATTGTTACGAGACATCTCGATGAGACCATCTGCCAATCTTCTACATCTTCCTCGCGGCCGTGCTCCGTGACTTGTTGTACCACCGTTGTCCGACGCGCCACGTAAGACAAACCGCTTTTTTCACTCGCCGGGCCGGCCCGCTCAGCACGAGAGCTCGCGTGCGAGCGACTTCCTGCGTGCGCGATGAACCGGTCGTGCTGTGTTGGCACCGAGGTTGTTTTGTGAAGCTGTCTGAGTCGCGGACCAGGCCCATCAGCGTCTAATACCCCACTGGTTTGGGTGCGTACCCCTGCACGCATGCGCCGGCGCGAGCCCGGTGGGCACGGCGCATGACTGATGTGTGTGGAAGCGCGCGCAGCTGGTCGGCTCCAAGCATGCGAGGCCGCCTTCAAAACATGCGAGGCCACCTCCAAAGCATGCGAAGCCGGTTCCAAAGGCATGAGAGGCCCAAACGAGTACGAATTTGGTGGGTGGATTACAATAAGGGAGAGGAGACATGCACGTGAAAGACTATTCAAGAACTTAATGTGTCTGTTTTTATTACTTTTTCGTGTCCAGGAATTAAGGCGAGCAAAACGTCCGTGAGAATCTCTTGTGTTGATTGCGTCATTGCAATCTTCAATCAGTTGATATGTTGGAAATGGCTGTGTTTACATTTTTCCCTTGTGTTTTACCCTGACCTGTCCAAAACGAGAAACAGTCCCATGACATCATCCAAGTGCACGCTCACCGACCACGTCGCCCGGTTTCAGGTACGATTCGCTAACTGGACTGCCCAGCTGCCAGCGAACGGTGGCCTTCGAGAAAGCGTCAGTGCTCTTCAACATCGCAGGCCCTGCACAGTCAGCTGGGGGCGCGCGAAGAGCGTGACAGTCCAGAGGGTCTCGACAAGCACCGTCAACAACTACGTGAGAGCGGCAGGCATCTACAGGTGAGGTTCCGCACGGCATGGTTCTGACGAGTGACAGGCATCTACGGGTAAGACTCCGCACGGCACGGTCCTGAGGAACGGCAGGCATCTACGGGTAAAGCTCCATACGGCATGATCGGGACAAGCGGCAGGCATCTGCGGGTAAGGCTCCGCGCGGCATGATCCTGACGAGCGGCAGGCATCTACGGGTAAGGCTCCGCACGGCATGATCCTGACGAGCGGCAGGCATGTACAGGTAGGGCTCCGCACAGCATGATTCGGACAAGTAGTGGCTCGGAGAGTAACGCGGCGTCCGTGCTGGAGACTGACTGAAGCAGGTGTCTTTATGATTGCGTTGTGATGTGAAGGCGGTTGGAACAACAGCGTAACGTATCCTTGCTAATTTGAGACAAATAGTGATAAATGTCATTCACTTGTTGCGGTTTTAGGACGTTTGTCTACTGAAGTAAAATGGCGTTGCATACCCAGTGCCCTGACAGGAGGGGCGGGCACTGCGAGGATTAGTACCTTCGGTAAATGATAGAAATCGCAATGTCCGTACGTATCGTACTGGCGTGCTCGTATGTCGTATCCGAACGTATCAACATGGCTGTATGTCTGGGAATATCAAGGCGGCCCAATCAGATGTCACAAACTGTGGATCATGCTCTACATCCCGGGATAACATCACTCGCCTGTGAACTAAAATACCACACGCATGTCGGACATCAGACACTCCGAGCTCCTCATATAAGTCACCGAGTCATGTCTCACGCATGACTCTATAATGATGACTCATATCTATAATGATATCATGACTCATAACTCATGACCTCCTATAAGCCCCGAACGAAAATTTTCAAACAAAAATCGAGTACGCTCGTCTCTTTTCAGATACATCCTAGAGAACGTCTCGAACGCGCCGAGCCGCGACCTGGACCCGGACGTGCTGGAGGGTGCTGTCGAACCTGCTGCTGGCGCAGGCGCGGGAGTGTCCAGCTGGAGAGCTGACGCTGGCGGAGGAGAAAGACCAAGCTGGCTGCCCGGCTCGATATGGGTCGGGAGGCGGCCCCAGGTGAGACGCAGGGGGCCGGGACAGCCTGGAATAGCACAGCTCAGGGAGGGGCCAGAGGCTCAGGGAGAGGTCAGAGGTTCAGAGAGGGTCTGGGATAGCCGGGAAGGAGCACAGCTCAGGGGGGGACCTAAGGCTCAGGAGAGGCCAGAGGTTCAGAGAGTGGCTGGGGCAGCTGGGGAGGAGCACATCTCAGGGAGGGGCCAGAGGCTCAGGGAGAGATCAGAGGTTCAGAGACGGGGCAGGGGACAGCCGGGTGGGGCGCGGCTCAGGGAGGGGCCAGAGGCCCATGGAAGGGGCCAGGGGGTCCAGGGGAGGGGCCAAGAAGGCCCAGGTGAGGACGCAGGAGCCGGAACAGCCGGGGAGGAGCTCAGCTGGTGGAGGGGCCAGAGGCTCAGGGAGGAGCCAGAGGCTCAGGAAGGGGCCAGATGTTCAGGGATTTCCGCTTGGGCTGAGAGAAGACTGTCTAGCCATTAATGGGCTTGAGAGTCCCGTGGGGAGGGGGATGAAGTGACTTGAGCATCCAAGACAAGACTGATTCGAAGGAGCACAGTCGTTCAATCGCGTGGATGCAAAAGGAAGCCCAGTATCTATTGACCATGCTAAACGGATTACCATCCTTGCAACATGAGACACAGAAACCCGTAACGCCCCTGGCCCGGACTCCGCGGCTGCCCTCGCCTGACAAGCCCCGTCGTGTATCGCCAGGTGTCCGAGGGTGTACCATCGTCTGCGGGAGCAGATGTCTCCACCGTCGGTGGAGGAGTCGGTGCCACCGTCCTTGGCAGCAGCTGGTCCACATCAAGGAGGTCTACTACTAGTCGCCCTTGCTCACCACCACTTTCGCCATCGGTACGCACCTTTTAGTCCTGCGAGCACGCCTATTCCCACAGTGGCTGAAGGCTGCCTTCCCTCCTCGTCGGGAGGCATCACATTGGCTGGGGCGCGAGATTGAGGCTCGGGGGGGGGGGGGGGGGGGCTGAGCATCCCTTTGAAAATTTATCTAAGTTTAACATGGACGCTATTGGTATTGATTGGAAAGAAATATCCAAGAGTGGCTGTTAAATGTCCCGTGAAGTTGGGAGAACTCTCGTGGTCCCTGCACAGTGGGGCTAAATGTTTGATGAATGACATGTGTACTATCTTCCCATTCACAGCACCAGTGTGTTGTTCGCCACCACCTCCGTTGTTTGCAATCCCAGTCGCTGCGTGCCATCGTTGTCGTCGGTGATATCGGCAAACAGTCAGACGCACGGGGCCGTGTTGCGGGTACCAAATCATGATGCACGAGACCGTGCATCGGCTGGGGTACGTGACCCTTGCCCGCGACGGCTGTTTACCCGGCGCTGCTGTAGGCGCAGTAGGCGCTCGCCCTGAGCATGACCTTGACCCCGCGGCACGCAGGCCTCCTCGAGCCACCAGGGGCCCGCTGGGTCGGCGGGAGATAGACACGCTGCAGCAGTCCCAGCGCAATCGGGACGACATTCTCGGCATCGACCTGACCTTGCCCTCGCAACGCCGCGCATAGGCCAAGTAAATCTGGGTGAGCGTTCGGACCGGCCGCACCCCGCACCGCAACGGGGTTTACACGTCACCAGGAATAGACGACCGCATGGCTGCTGGTTAGGTTCTGTGCTTTCGTGATAGGACGGCAGTTGGGTCAATTTCCAAAGCGAAGTGCAGTTTCCTGAAAGCCGTTAATTTTGAGAGGACACTTCAACCATGCATGTGGGATGAAAACACGGCACTGCTGCGTATTGTGTACTTGCCTCTGAATCGTTCCACGTCGTTCGTGATACCGTAAATAGAGCTAAAAACGCATGTAAACATATGCTAATGCTGAACATCAAGCATTGATGTCTGGACATGACGCCCGCCCACAGGGAAGTGCCACCTGAACGAGGCCATCACGCTACACGAGGAGTGTTCTGCGATTGTACCGGATGTCCCGCGAGCTGAAGAAGCGCGAGATTGCTGCACCACGTGCTGAAGGTTGGCGCTGGACGTCTCCGTGGAGCGACTGGAGAATCATCCGGAAGGAGGACGACTTCGACGAGCCCGTGGAGCCGCCGACAATCTCTGGTAAAATTCGCACTGAGCTTCACGACCCTTGTTTTTGGCGAGCAGATTTGCGCCGGGTCCTGGGCGCCGTACGGCGGCGGGACCCGGTCCGCAAGTCGACTGAACATAATTTGGTATAGCGCTTGTCAATTGCTGTGCGGTTTGCATCGATCGTAATAAGCAAACAAGCGAGCATGTCGCCTCTATTGATCATTGTCCGGACTACAGAGCGCATCCCCCGTCAGATTTGCTCCGCATGGCTAATTCAAGTTAACAAAAAGCAAAGACTTTGAAGCCCAGAAACATTTTCAGTTCTCTTCAGGTCTGTGCATTGTGCCCTAGGGGACGTCGCGTGCGGCTGCCTGGAAGTTCGCTCGCCGTCTGGGGTGACACAAATCGTATTAAGGTCGCAAATAACGCTAATAGTTGAAGGAAGGCAATGGATAGTCGCAGGAAGGCTGAGAATGGTGCTGATGTTTTAAAGTACTGTGGCTTGTTTGGCGGTGCAAGGCACCGCTGAAAGAGCATAGCAAGTGCAATCGATGATTCCATCTTCTTTGCGAGTTGCTGGTGTGGCAGAAACTGTAAAATTGCGTGCCATTTGAAGAAAGACTTTCCCCAGATATTTTGCAGGATGCTTGCTTTTTTGTTTGCGAAGTGACAGTGGCAAAGAAGAGCGATAAACAATTATGCAGGGAAGACGAGTAGGGATCCCACTCAGCACTTGCTATCTTCATGCATCACAAAACGAAACCCGAGTGGATTTGCCTAATGCTGCTATAAATTGCCCATGCAAGAGACGCGTGCAAAGAGGGTTCCGAAGCCTGGTACACAGGCACCACAAGCTTCGAAGACACATTGCTGACTGGACACATATCTCATAAACTACATCTTGACTGGTAAAACCCTGGACCTTTCTTTACACTCGAGCCCATCCAACCAGACGCGTTGAAAGGCTCTCGGGGTGACGCTCCGTTTGCTTCCCTGTAACGCCGGCTCTTTATGACTGCAGGCTCCTCCAAGCAGACGCTGCCCCAGCGGCCACCATCTCCCCTGTGACCCCTGGCTCTCTGTCCCCGCAGGCTCCTCCAAACAGACGCTCCCCAGCAGCCACCGTCTCCCCTGTGACCCCGGCTCTCCGTCCCCGCAGGCTCCTCCAAACAGGCGCTCTCCCAGCAGCCACCGTCTCCCCTGTGACCCCGGCTCTCCGTCCCCGCAGGCTCCTCCAAACAGACGATGTCCCAGCAGCCACCGTCTCCTCTGTGACCCCGGCCCTCCGTCCCCGCAGGCTTCTCCAGACAGACGCTGCCCCAGATGCCACCGTCTCCCTGTGACCCCGGCTCTCCGTTCCCGCAGGCTCCTCCAAGCAGGCGTTGACGCTGCGGCCGCCGGACTTCAGCCAGCACCAGGTGCCGGACCTGTTCCGCGCGCTGGGCCCCGTCGAGGTGTTCTCAGCGCACCATCACTGGTCGGCGCCGCGCTCAGTCACCATCAGCCGGCAGCCCGGCGAGGGGCTCGGCTTCAGCGTCAAGATGGAGGCGCCCGTCGTCGTCGTCGACGTCGAACCCACCGGCGTGGCAGAGGTCAGAGGAATGGTCACGTGTGTGTGTGGGGGGGGGGGGGGTGTAGGGGTCGCTGATTGCTCCTCTGACCGGGATGTGCGATAACAGGGGTAGGTGAGCGGCGATGCGTGTGAAGCGGTTGTAAGTAAAGATCGCTGGGAGGCCACGCGAGTGTGTATGTCACGTGTACGTGAACATGCGTTTGCAAAGGTCGCTGGGGCCGCTGAAAGGTCATAAGTGCGGGCCTCTTGGCGGAAGAAGTAAGTGAAAGGTATATGTGTGTATGTATTATATATATATATATATATATATATATATATATATATATATATATATATATCTATGTGTGGTGTGTGTGTGTGCTGTTGTGTGTTGTGTGTGTGCATGTATATATGTTGTATATATGTGTTATGTATATACGTGGAAGTCGTGGGTATACCCTGGTGCTTCTGCTCACGTGCAATGTTCTGGGTTGTGGCCAAGAAGGCCGGGTGTAAGATAAAACTTTGACTTTAAAAATGTTGAACAGCCATATTATAGTCACAGGAATGAAGAACACTAATGCCACCTCTTTGGAAGTTATATCTGCACCCAATCATTATATGATGCGCTGTTGGGAATCGTGTTGTGCAGGTAACCATGATTCATGCCTCGAATTATGTCTTAACTACCTGTTATCGAGCTCGTTCGTTTCCATCAACACCCTATATTCTCCATTTGGAGCGATCTCGCTGTTTTCATCAGATGTCGCCGCCGTTCCCCTTTCTATACACCCGTCCCCTGGCAGCGCCTGACCTCTGCCCGGCGCCTTACACCTGCCCGGCGTCTTACACCTGCCCGGCGCCTTACACCTGCCCGGCGCCTTACACCTGCCCGGCGCCTGACCTCTGCCCGGAGCCTGACCTCTGCCCGGCGCCTGACCCCTGTCCGGCTCCTAACCTCTACCCGACACCTGACCTCTGCCCGGCACCTGACCTCTGCTCGTCGCCTGACCTTTGCCCAGCGCCTGACCTCTGCCCGTCGCTGCAGCGCGCCGGCCTCAAGGAGAACGACTACATCGTGGGCATGGACGGCCAGGACCTCAAGTGGAGTGGCCACGCGGACGTGGTGGCGCTCATCCGACAGGCCGGCAGCGAGTTCAGCTTGGTCGTCGTCACGCCCATGGACAAGACAGAGCCGGTGAGGACGCAGTGGCAGTGGCCACACCGCGCGCCAGGGCCTGCTCGGGATGTTGGGATGGCATGGAGTCGGGATTTCCCTTGTGGGTGTTCTGTTTGAGACCTTGGGTTCCCGTGGGTAGCAAACGATCCAAATCGAAGGCCGGGTGGCCAAAAGCTGAGGTCTACATACCGCTTTGCAACTCTTAATTTGAATCCTATATTGCACGATTAATTGTTATGATGTGTGGGCAATAGTTAGGTGAGCCATTTGGTTTCGCCTTTCCTTTGCGGTAGCTGTTGTGGGCGAGTCTCCAGGGAACCTTCAGTCCAGGCTAGTCCAGAACTTCGGACCTCCAGCCAGCATTTGGACGAGTTTACTGTAACCCTATCGTCCAACCAACGGCGCGCCTTCCTCCTTGTCACTGCATTGCGTTTCCAGTTGGTCACCGATGTTTTTTACTAGCGCATGACCTCTGGACCTCCGACTGGGCGATGTTTCAATGATTTCCCAGCCGTCATACGTTGATCCCGCTTCTGTTTTTACCCACCTGTTGGGCATCATCTGTGAATGCGACTTTGTGCTCCGTGACTCCTCTCCAATGCTGGGGCGAGAAACGGGTGTGACTCGACCACCGTAGTCCAACACATTTTTAAGCATGTTTGGTTACAGGTTCTGTGAGCTAACATCATGTCCAAATCTTGCTCTCTGACTCTGCCGTTCAGGCGTTAAACTGATCACAGCCTGTGCATTTACAATGCCGATTGACCCTGCTGCTGGTGCTTGCTTGTTTTCTGAGGCACCGTCTCGTATCCTGACTATGCATCCAATGTCCTGACGTGTCTCGGGTCTTGCTCTGTGACCCACCCCGCTCCCTGGCGCTCTGCCTTATGTGTCTCGAGTCTGTGCTCTGTGACCTATCTCGCTCCCTGGCGCTCTGCCTATGTGTCTCGAGTCTGTGCTCTGTGACCTATCTCGCTCCCTGGCGCTCTGCCTATGTGTCTCGAGTCTGTGCTCTGTGACCTATCTCGCTCCCTGGCGCTCTGCCTTATGTGTCTCGAGTCTGCTCTGTGACCTATCTCGCTCCCTGGCGCTCTGCCTTATGTGTCTCGAGTCTGTGCTCTGTGACCTATCTCGCTCCCTGGCGCTCTGCCTCATGCGCTGGCGCTGAGCGCCGCTCTCTTTCTCTCCACGTCGTGTTCTGACCCGGTGCCATGCGACAGACGCGGGAGCCGCCGCGGCCGCCGCCGATGCCGCCGCTCTCGGACAAGACCTGGGGCTCGCTCTCCAGCTCGGGCGTCAGCTCGGGCGTCTCCAGCCGCAAGCCGAGCCCGGCCAGCAGCCTGGCCAGCCAGAACAGCAAGGGCTCGGCGCGCCGCCACTCCTGGAACCCGTTCAAGCGCGGGGCCAAGTCCGAGCACGACCTCTACATCACCAACGTGGTGCTGCGATGAGGCGGCCGCCCCGGCGGTGCCGCTGCCGCAGCCGTTGTGGGCCACGCTGCTGCCGCCGCCGGCTCCGGCGCCGCGCGCTCGCACTGCCAGAGCCGCCACAGACAGCCACCTATGCTACCGCACATGTGCTACCGCCAGCAACGGACACGGAGTTGTAGCAGCAGTAATCGTAGTAGTTCCGGCGGAAGCAGGAGCGTTCTATACCGCGAGTAGCAGCGGAAGTGGTGCAGACGCTTTGTCGTTGGCGGTGCGCGCGCCTCAGCGGGCTCGGGCCGCGTCCACACCTGTTCTTGTTGCCATGCGCCGCTGGCCGGCGCCGGAGAGCCGGACGCAGAGGCCCTGGGCCAGTCGGACCCCACGCCGCCAGACTGTGTCGCCCGTTGCGTGGGCTCGAGGCGCGTCGTGCCGTCGCACGTGTTCGGATGCGCCCGGTTCTGTTGCCCTGTTGCGCCACGTGGTGCGTGTATTCGTGCGCCCCCGGCTCGGGGCACGGGAGCTGTTGTCGTGTGGAGCTTTGCCGAGTGTTGATGTTAGTCTGCGGCCCAGTTACTTATATAGATGAGTTGCCGTTGTGTTGAGGCCAAACCACAGAGTAGCTGAAAGTATCCTGATTGGCTTGTATCGTGTGCTCATTAATCAGTGGGATGATGTTTGTCCCGGTCCCGTCTGTCCGGTCCCGATTGCGTCTCGGGATCAGGTACGACTCGGGGCGGTTTTGTGATATTTACCCTGTATTCGGTCGCCCCGCTGCAGCGAAGCGCCTATTCAAAGCATTCATGTAATGGGTATGTTATCCAATGAAGCTGAATCGTAATCGGAAACGTTTTCTTTTGGTTGTTGCGAGTGAAGAAACTGAAAAATCAGGCACAAGCGGAGGCACGAACAAGGAACCGAGGGCCGCTTGCAGGCGGTGAAGCTCTCCCTCAAAGGAGATATTCCAGCGGCAGAGCAGCCAGCACACACCGATAAGCAGCCGCAGGTTGAGCCATGGCTTTTCCCAGGGTTTTTTTTCAACACCAGCACCAGGACACATCACTACACTCCGTTGGCACCTGAGCCCTGAATGCATTTAGACATGCACCGGTGTCGTCACTCTCACATGGTAGTCATTCCGAAGTTCCCACAGCCTGTTTGACACGGCGTCGGACAAGGACCATGTAGGGCAGGCACGTGGAACTGCAGCTCTGACCCGCGCCCACGCGGCGCGCGGCATGGCGCCGCGCGTCGCGCCAAGATGTCCGTACGAATCAGCCGCTGAACCAGAGTTCTCCATTGAAGGGGTGGGGGTGGGAACACGGCGCACGTCACCATTCATGGCTAAAAAAGACTTCAAACTCACTTCTTCAGAAAATCGGTCCCCGTTTTCAAAAAAAACATGAAATATCCACGGGCACGCGTCGCATACCGTACTGGCAAGCTGTCTTTCGCAAGTGCCAACCAGTCTACGAGTCAAACATTTGTTCTTCAAGCTACTACCGCTCGGCTTGGCAGGAACACGGAAGGAGCTGAATCAGCCCGCTCCTAAAAGAAGTGGACAAAACAGCATTTTACCTTATATTTATCGAAAAACGCGTGACCTTTGAGCGACACGTCGCCTGTCCTTATCACAGAAAATACGGATCGCAGAGGAAACGAAACGTCCCGTCAATCCACCATCATGTTTCGCCTCAGCACCTCCACGTCCCAGTCAAAGTCGTCGTCGGAGCAACACAGCTCCAGAGCCACGTACGATGGTCCGTGTCTTAGCGGCGTAAATGGCCGCCAAGGGCGCCGACAGACCAGAGACCGGGCTGGCCAGCCTCGATTCGCTGCCGCTTGACCGTCAACATGCAGAACCACCACAGATCCCGTCACATGATGGGCTACAACACCCACAATCACGAGCCCCTCGTCTCTGGCGGCTCACTAGCGCTCCTTCCCCCCCCCCCCCCCCCCCATCTCTGGCGGTTCAGAGCTGTCACTGCCTGGTCTCCGTGAGTCTCCGGCGACTCCGAGTTCTCACTGCCTGGTTCAATCAAAATAGTCTAGCTGAGTCTACATGACTGGACGGTGCGTACACGGCCGTAAGGTGGGCCAAGGGCGCCGACAGACCAGAGACCGGGCTGGAGCCTCTTTGGTGCCGGGCGGGGTCTACAACGGCTCCATCTCTAGCGCCGCCGCCAGGCTGGCCATGTCGATCTCTCCAGCGCCTCCGTCGTCGTGTCTCCGCCGGAGCGAAGGCACCGCCCGCTCGCCGAAGCTCACGCCCTCCTCCGGCACGCGGTACGAGAAGCGCAGGCGCGGCCGGCCGGCCGGGGGCGTGGCCCCGCTGATGCCCACGGTCGGGGGCGGCGGCTCGCTGACGTCCGCAGCTGGGGGGCGGGGCGAATAGCAGAAGTCGGCCGGGAAGCAGTGTTCGCTGACGCAGTGCTGCCGCCTGGCGACCGGGTCCGCCGACAGCACACCGCACGATTCGACGAAGCAGGCGTACTGCGGGCGACGCAGCACGCGGGGGTCACGCACATGCCTTGGTAAGAGGGCTAGCCTGCAGTGGATGACAGTCCAGGTGCTTGTGTCACGTCCCGCATGTAAACTTTACTCCAGAAACAAGAAAGTGTGTATATATATATATATATATATATATATATATATATATATATATATATATATATATATACAAATGTTTAGCAGATGAGCCTGTACTGGTTTCTGAATGGGTGTTAATCAATGTCCTATCGACGAACGCCTTTTTCGAAACGCGGATAATGCAAAGTCGTCGCCAAGTATCATTAGAATTTATATGTATGGCCAGTGTGGCACATACATCCATTACGGCCACAGATAGTCGACAGAATATACCAACAAACCACTTTTTGTATAACTAAAACGGTAGTTTTCGGCGGATCACGCACCTGTAGAAATATACCCCAGGAGGCGCACTCGACGTAGTGCGCCTCCTGCTAAAATCACAAGCTTTGAAACGCGCGTTTTCGGGCAACCGTCGACAGAAAGCCAGGGCTAAAACCCCGCTCTTCCCACGTCTCTCCCGGTTGGCAGTCTCACCATTGGCTGACGCTGGGCGCGCAGCTGAAACAGCGAGTCGTGACTCTCCTCCAGGTGCAGCTGCAGCGTGTGGAGCGACGGCAGGCGAGCGCGGCAGATGGCGCAGCTGTGCCGGTGACTGGCGGCGTAGTGCGCCTCCTGCTCGACCACCGAGCCCAGCCGGCGGCCGCAGCCGGCCACCTCGCACCGCAGCGGCGCCCGCTCGCTGTCGGCAGCGGGTCGTTAGCGGGCGCTGTAGCCGGCTGCTGGGCACGGGCCGGGGCCAGCCCTCTAGCGTCGTTATGGTGTGAGATGATAAGCGACGTAGTTGTCAGTCATGTTCAATGAAAACCACATGTACTAAGTAACAAAACTATTTTGTTGATAATCTAAGTTGACATATATGTGCAAAGTGTGTTTTGGGTGAAGAACAACTACTCTTGCTGATATTAACCCCTCTTCCTGCCCCATCAAAGTTTGCTTAGGTCAGTGACATAGTCAGATGATGATGTTCCGATGATTGGAGTGCCAATCTACAGTGACATTCAGGAGCCACAGAGCATGAACAACAGTTCCACAAACCCAAACTAAATAAAACATTGATTGGTTACTCTTGCACCATTCATTACTTTCAATGATGCAATAGAGCTCAACTGAAAACTCACCACTCCAGCTCTTCCTCATCCAAATCGACAGCTACATATTGTAGCTGCATTCCACAGGCAGCATTGCCTTCTGCATAAAGAGGATCTTCAAATGTTCGTTTTTTGTTTGCAACCGTCCTCAGATATGTCCAAACGGTGTCCTTGTCAGTGAATGGAAAAGGATCCATTTATGCAGGCTTCTGAAACTAGATGCACTTTACCAGATTATCAGAAATCAGAGCTCTTTCACAGCATGACAGTCCACTAAGTGACATAAGGGTGTCCCTGGGGGTGGCACACACAAATCTCACTTGAACATTTATTCTCTTCATTGATCATGTGATGGTTGGTGCTAACTTTACGCTACAAACAGGAAGGCCTTGTTCTTGATCCCTACCCCCACCCCATCCCCTAGCATCTGGGTACACTTGGGAACTGAAGCTGCCCAACCTTTTGGGAAAGTTACTTTCCAGTTAACTTTTCAGCTGTCCAGAGAAAGAGACAAACCAAAATGACCCAGTCTGCCCCCTCCCATGTCAATGTTAGGGCCACAAATGTATTTAGAAGACCAGAACTCACGCTAAGCAGACCCTGTTGCATGAGCCATGATCCCCACCATCTGATCCTGATCATGAAATTTGTTGTGACCATTCATCCTTGATCACATCTTTCTCGATGACTCAGTGGGTTAGAATGATCCAACCATCCTTCCAGTCCAACTACCCATGACAGCAAGGGTTTAAGTCACTTCAGGTTTTCACTATTTATCTTTGACTGGGATATCCTGTGGCTGGTAACAGCACCCATGCTGGAGGTCAGATGATACCAGAGGAATGGATGGGCATCCAGGCCATTACAGAACATGAAAATGTCACAACCCAATTCTTCAGCTGACCTAGAAATTCCAGATTGGATCACAGGACACAGGGCTCACACCACAAACACTGCTTGGCATTTGCTTTGATCTCAGAAATCCATCTTGTTTAGTGTCTATACTAAATCTTTCAACAAAATTGGCACCAAATTTGGTGACCAAAAGTGTTATAGGTTATCATGCATAACATGGTTTAGCCTGCCCTCTGAGATCATCTGATCTTTAGTTACCATCTGCTTTCACCAACCCAGTCTGAACTGAACCAGATGCCTGCACCACATTGGTCGGCTGAATCCCACAATAGCATGCACCAAACTGGGGCCAGGCTAAATTGTGTCAAGTTTCAAAACAATATGGTTGGGAATTTTTGAAACATTTTTGCCTGAAAGTACCTTTAACACATAATTATCTAAAATATTGGCTCTCTAGGCACTGGACATGGTGACAACTATACACTAAACTCTAAGCATCCAGGTTTCCTGCATAAATCTGATAACAATTTTGCATCAAGGCAATTTATGAGCATCTAAAACATCTTGGATCAGTAACATGAAAGCGTGGATCAAAAGGCAGGCTCTCTAATTAACCATGATGTGAAAGCAGGCTTTGAATTCATGTTACTCATGCAAGCTACAGCATTATTACCATAATTTGATCACTGAAGGTTGAAGTGATACATATAGGAAACAAGGAGCTTTGATGGAAATATTACAAATAATACTACACTTTTGAAAATTATGGAATCTCCCCTAGTTACACACTGGGTACATCATCCATGATTTAGCATGATTTGTAACCAAGCATGGGCATGTCACAGCACGCACTGCCTAAAACCCTCACCCTAGGCCTTTTTAGCTTCAGTTACATGCAATCGAAATTCCCCTCCCGCTACCATGCACAGTAATTCAAAAAACGCCCACGAAGCCCTAAAACTGTTCAATTATCGCTCACCAGATCAGTACCACAATTCCTACAGTCCCAAGCTGGCTTCGTTACAACAACCTTGGTTGCTACCGCAACTGTGTCCACCTTGGCTACCGGTTATGTCAAGGCTGTATGAGACTTATGTCTCTGTTACGTGTCTTGGTTACGTCTCAATTGGTTGAAGATTGATTAAAGAATATCGAAAGATCGGTTAAAGATGATCGATCTCGCTCACATTAACGCAGTAAATGCGTAGCGTGACGCCTTGAAGACGAGTTTGTTGGCTCGTTGCTGTCCATTTTTGTCATACGTTTTATGCCAAACAAGATAAAAAGAAATATTTGTGAAGAACTTTGTTAATTTAAACAAGTTTCATGACTGATAGCTAAGATGTAACACACTTGTTTCCACCATGAATATGCTTGAAATATTTTCTGCGTTTTAGAAGCAGCATGCGCCTATTTTGCCTTGTTCACTTCAATTGTATTATTTTGGTGTTGGAATGCCGAGTGTGTTGCCTAACAGAGTAGATACCTATTTAGAGTTCGTAATTAAATGGCGATTAGGAGCCTCTGAATCTAAATGGGTGCTGGTCGGATGTAGCTTGGATATTGGAAAGTAAGCGATAATATTTGTTTTTACTTTGAAAGCCTCGGAGCTGTTGGGAGATGGGTTGGGTCGGGATGAAAGTTAAGCAGGATTTTAGCGACTAAGCTGCAGGCTACCTCCAGGGCCACATCCCCTATGCTGTTGGATAGGAGGAACAGCCTTCCTATCCAGCCAGCCTTTGCAACAGCAAAAAATGTATTCCTAGCACATATTTCTGTAAGAGACCTATGTTCTCAACAGTCACTATTGAAGTTGGATGGTGAGCTTTTCAGTGGCCTTAGAATACAAATGGATGTGGCCTTGCAATTGTGTGTATCTTTTCTGTTCATTATGCATCTTGAAACAATATGTATATATGTGCCTTGCATGATAGGACCTTCACATGATGCTTTCCTTACCCATCACTGCGCTCCAGGGACAATGAATGGGAATTTCATCATACCTGTGGTAGATGTTGTAATCTCAGCATTATTGTAATGTGGTGTTATTATATCTATTAACAATTATCTCTCCATAGCTTTGGAGTAACAAAGTTTCAATCCTAGATAAAGTAAGAGTTGCAGCTAAGCTCAGGTGGGATGAAAGTCCATCCACATCAAGAGTAATGATCCACATTAGAAGATGTCAAGGCAAGCACCAGATATGATGAAAATGACTGACTTGATCTGTCTTTGTGCATTTAAGGTAAAAAACTATTTAGACAATAAAGTCTCACTATTCAGAAATGTTTGTATGATGTTAGACAGCCTGCCAAACTGACCTGTGAGATTTCCACCTTCACAAGCCATGTAATATTCTGCCCTAGCAGACAGGTGGACTCACTTGCTTGACAAGCTGACTTCACTTCTCTGCTGCAAATTTGTAAGAGGTGTAGGGTGTCACAGTGGGTGTGGCATTTCTGGAACCCAAGTGTGGTTGTGTGCCCATGTTTTGGTGCTTTCTTGTGATGTTCTTGAATGTTTATTATATAATTTTGTTCACTTGCATTCACATGCTTGATTAAGGCACTTTTTTAAGTTATTCGGTGGCAAGCTTTGTTTCCAAAACAACTAGTATTAATGTCCAACCTCCTGTATTATGTATTGCAAAACATGAGTTGTGTTTGAAACTTAGACTGAATGCACAATGTTGGCTGAAAGCCAGTTGAAGGCTGTTGGTTTCAGGAATGATGCCCACCAAGGTCAGATTTAAATGACTTCATGATTATCTTCTTCTTGGTCTTGAACACCACATGGCCAGTCGGGTGACAGGATATGAACAATGTTTTTGTGACCTTGTGCATGCCTGAATGGCCTTGAAATGGGTTGCTTAAGATAGTCTGCACATCTTTGTGGGCATGTAACTCAGAAACTAGAGCATTCTGGGTTCTAAGAATGGCAGGGTGAGGAATGAAGTGATCTTCAAGGTGGCTATCTAGTTAAAAGTCCTGTACAAATTTGGAGCACTTCCTTTAATATTTTTGGTGACAAGAAAAAGGAAATGAAGCTGGCTGGATGGAGTGGCATGAAATTTTTGGCATATTTTGTGTTTTGTAGCACAGGCTTTCATCTTGTACTATACATGGAAGCATGCAATTTAAAATGTGTGTTTAAGTCCATTGCATTTTAACATGTCACTCATATGGGCTGAAGGGACCCCATGTCATTCATTTTCCCCTCTTTTCAAGCTCACAACATGTACATTTTGGGTTGTGCAGAAGCTTCATATGCCAACTCGGCAGAAACGTCTAGGGGCAATTGCAAAACTGGCAAGTATAGCCCGCCCCCCCCCCCCCCCATCCATTCTCTGTGATGTGAGGTGCAACTGGCCAAACCTATCCCTGAAGTTGTCAAACTTGATCTTCCCATGACCTAGCCATAGGTCAGCAACCTTACAAGGTACATCTAAATTTTTGATGGCACACAATCCGCTATTCTATTGTCTACAAATATGCTAAATTTGGCGCGGCTACGCCGCGCCGTTCGGAAACCATTCTGGAAAAACCTTCGGAGGGTCAATTTGACCCCCACCCGAACGCGTGTTAAGATTGCAGCAAGTGCGGTGTGCGATACAGATTGACTGGCTAGTTGCAAGCTGTTTATAATTGTTGCATACTTGAAGTGTTGTTCACGGTATCTCCAGCTTTTTAAGGTTGCATGCTAACTGAAATTAATTGCTCACTGCATTCTTACTTGCTTAACCCAGATGTACCTTCTACCTCCAAGGATGTCGATAGTCCGACCATGAATTGATTCTAGAATATGTGTATGGTTTCCTCAAATGAAAGTATTCTCCTTTGAATTGGCCCCATCTGTACCTTCCATAGACCAATGACCCTATGATTTTTCCGTAAAAAGTGACGGTCGTCTGTTGTTCCAGCTTCTTGCCTCCGAACATGCTCCTGTGACCTGAGGCCACCCGGAATTCGACCTGACGTGACCTCGAAGCTGACCTCGGAGCAGCGGCTACATCGAGCGTCTCACCATGAGCGAGCCGCTGCCGCCGTACCTGGACCGCGGCGACGGCCACAACCGCTGCTGTAACCGGCGCCTCTGGTGCATCGGCGATGTTTGCGGCGTGCTCTGCGTGCTCATCACCTGGTTCCTGATCGGCTACGCCGAGTACGTGGTGATGGGCGTCATCCTGCTCTCGTGGCCGCAGTCGATGATGCGCGCCCTCCACATGGTGGTCTACAACGCGCTCACGCTGCTGGCCTTCTCCAGTCACGCGCGCACCATGCTCACCGACCCGGTAGGTGGCGCTGCGAGCGAGGACTTGCGAGACGGGCCTCTGCTGGTGGGATGGTGTGCAGGGCGCCACAGCGATATAGCGCGTGGTAGGTTAGGGGAATCAGTCACTGATTTTGATTGCATAAAGGTTAAGCTCATGCATATTCATTTTAACGGCGATAACGGGTTCTTGTATTGTTTGGTGATGGACAAGGTGTGAATTTTGTGTGTTCATGTACTGGCATGTATGGGATACTGATTTAGGGAAAAGTTACGTCATTATACAAATGATATGGAAATCTTAGCCTATGATGTGTAACAATGGAGGCTAGCAAGCTAGGCTCAATCAATTATCTCACGATCAAACCATGCCTTATCGCGAGTTTCGTGTAATTCGCACGCATTGACGATACGTTCGTGTACGTCTCCATGACCGGTAGCGATGGCCTTGTTGCCAGGGCGCCGTGCCTCGGGGTAATGCTACAAAGGAGGCGATGCAGTGGGCCACCAGCCAGGAGGGTGGCGTTGTATACAAGGTAACGGCGATAGACGCTTAGCGGTATAATTAAGCGATAGAAATAAAGTGCCTGTATGTCGAGGGTAAACCGATTTGACTTGCTGTTTGCGATGCGTTTATCGTCATTGGGGAATATGACTTACTTGGAATTACCTTACCTATGGCGTATGACTACTTGGCTTGCCTCCGATGATCAGTAATCGTTATTTTTAATTTGTGCGAGCGATATCAACCAGACATGTTTGCTTCAGATGCAGTGTTCTTCCATCTAGGTTGTCAAAATCCTCTGTTGTGAAGGCATATGGCACATCTTGTTCATGAATATAGCGTGCCATCTGTTCGAGTCTCGGATGCTTTGGTAGTCTGTTTGTGCGCTGTGCCCGTCACTCCAACCATGCGTTGTCGCGGTGACCAGACCCCGTATCGCCGCACCAGCCGCCCACTGGCTCAGGGCGGCCGATCTGTCCGCGCCGCCGTTGTATGGAGAGGCTGACGTCGCCTGCCCCACCCGCTAGTGTCCCAAGTGCTGGAGCATCAAGCCGGAGCGGGCCCACCACTGCTCCGTCTGCCAGCGCTGCATACGCAAGATGGACCACCACTGCCCGTGGGTCAACAACTGCGTCGGCGAGAACAATCAAAAGTTCTTCGTGCTCTTCACGGTGAGGGAACGGCGGGAGCTTCGGATTCTGGCATTAAGCATCTTGACGGTGAGGGACTGGAGGGAGCTGTGGACTCTGGCGTTAGGCATCTTGACAGTGAGGGACCGGAGGGAGCTGTGGACTCTGGCGTTCTCGTTAGGCATCTTGACGGTGAGGGACCGGAGGGAGCTGGGGACTCCGGCGTTAGGCATCTTGACGATGAGGGACCGGAGGGAGCTGGGGACCCTGGCGTTAGGCATCTTGACGGTGAGGGACTGGAGGGAGCTGTGGACTCCGGCGTTAGGCATCCTGACAGTGAGGGATCGGAGGGAGCTGTGGACTCCGGCGTTCTCGTTAGGCATCTTGACGGTGAGGGACCGGAGGGAGCTGTGGACTCCGGCGTTAGGCATCTTGACGATGAGGGACCGGAGGGAGCTGGGGACCCTGGCGTTAGGCATCTTGACGGTGAGGGACTGGAGGGGGCTGTGGACTCCGGCGTTAGGCATCTTGACGGTGAGGGACCGGAGGGAGCTGGGGACCCTGGCGTTAGGCGGTGTCATCTGGGGTATGTGTTGGCGCATAGACGCATCTCGGGCGTTGCGTGCCATACACGGGGTTGAGAGATTATTGGTGCTGTACAAGTAATGGAGAATTTCGCTCAGAAACAATTAAATTGTCGATATGAGACCTCGACCTATTCTCATTGTACCGAAATTGTACATCCGTTGTGCGGATGTTGGGTGGTCTGTCGGTAGTGTGCCGTCAGGATGGGTTGGGACTC